CTTTTAGCGAGTTTCTTTATTTCTTAAGATGCTGCGAATTTGTGTAAACGCTTTCAAGTACTGAATCGCCTAAAAATACAAAAAAAAGCATGCAACTTTAACACTGACACACAATAACGTGTCATACTAAAGAGTTAATACAAAAATAGCTCTTGTATGGCCTCCATCGCCAATGAAACGTGAACTTAAATATCTTAAATCAGCTTAGAAACTGGCTCAGTTTAAATTTAAATAATTTGCAGTTCGAATTCACTTATATTTACTTTGACAGCTGGAAATAAATTCACAGCGACACATAAAAGAATAATTGGATGATGTCTTTAGATCTCGGATGTCTGCTCCCTTTGTTAGCAGCTATCAAAATAACCTTATTTCTACTTGGAGTCGCGTTCTAAGGAAAAAATAACGTATACTAAATTTTCGAAACGTTGTAAAGGGCAAATCAATTCCAGCCAAATTTAAAAAACAAAAGTTAAGTTTATACGGTTTATAAAAATTCTATTTAAACTGATGTGCATAACCGTGCCCTGCTTCTACGACTTTCTAAAACTCAGTTAAAGGATTTGCAGATAAAATTAACAAAAAGATAGCCACTGCTATTTGCGAGAATTCCGTGCTACATAAGCATTTATACTGGTAAAAGCACAATTTACATCTCGCTTGACACACTCAGCTCCACAAATTGAATTTTTCTAGCTAATCTCTGCCTTGAACCGAAAAAAAAAAAAAAAAATAACTCAGTACTCTGTCAAGCAACTAGCAGGACCATGACTTTCAGGATAAACAGCTAACTGCTTGCTACCAAAGTATGCTCTGCAAAATATTGCTTTTATTCGCTATTTTAACTTAATTTGTATTCTGATGAATAGGATTGAATTTATAGGATTATAGCTCAATACGCTAGAGCTACCTTCTTAAAGGAATGGATACCTTCTTGGATTACTTTCTAAGATAAAAATGGATCACAGTTCAAGTTACCCACACGGGGAAAAACATGAAAACTCCCATGCAGTCATCCCGTTCGCCGCGATTTGCACCCGCCTCGAAATTAGTGTTTAACAGGTCTTATCCACTCAACCATGGCGAGAAGCATTATGTTAATGGTAAAACAGAAAGTAATGTAAAAATTAATGCAAAATAACTTGTTAACTAAGACAATCCTTATAGTTTTCGTAAAGCACATATCTCACCCTACACACCTGAGAGAGACAGGTCTGGGGTTGAATCAAATTTGAGGATACAGTATATTTTGAGATGGACAGAAATTTCTAAAGGACAAGATGACATTAAATAGTACGATAACTAGGGTTAGTTTAGATTTAATTACTACAGTACCTTCGCCAGGCAACATGCAACGAGTTTCGGAAAAGTTTTCTTTTCATTGTTCATTCTATTAAACTAGCTTTGAACACAATAAAATTACATCAGGAAACACTACGAAACGAATGAGATTAGTTTACCATTTACAGATGAATCTCAGTACAGTCTATAATGGGATTATTCATTATTCATACAGTTTTATAACAATCAGCTACATTCAAATCTTCCTAAAATTAGTGCCGGCTGTTTTAGCCTTCAGGTAGTAGTGTTACGTTTCGCTCTGAGGTGAAAAACCAAACAGAATATGGCAGGGAAACTGCAGAAGCAGAGGCTTGTAGGCACGTAACAGAGAAGTGATTCAATTTTCAAGTCTTCACAAACTTCTTCATCCTAACCTAAATGGCAAACTGATCCGGTTTGGTATCTGAGCAGAGCGTTTATCAAGTTGTTCATGTTGCCTGAAAAGGCTGGATTCCCTTTCGAAATGCAATTGTGCTCATTAGCCCCTCTCCATAGACCTAAGGAAGATTTTGCAATAAAATAAAATGGTACAGTATTTACGAAAATACCGTATCACAGCAATAATCCAAATCCTAACTTTCTCAGAATCAGGAAGTTCAAGTTGTTTCAAGTGGTAATAAACGAATGCGCTGCAATCTTCCTGGTTGATAATAATAGGCCTTATGGTTAACGCAGCACACCCAACACAGATTAAAACAAATATACAGTTAAAAATATCAAACCAAAATTCCCAATATTGTTCTATTGCCATTTATATTCTATCCTTTATGTTACCATGTTTTTCTCTATTCAAGTTTTCAAGTGGTCCGTTTTGGGATCAAAATGAAAGGTATATATGTTCTATAACGGGCTAATATATATTATTTACACAGAAAAGAACACCAGAACAATCAGCTAGTTCTTCATGTTCTCAAATATCAATGCTAGTTGTTCTGGTCTTTGTGGCTGAATATTATAGAGGCACATTTTTCCCTTTGGAGGTAAATCGTAAAAGTAAATGCCTTCCTTGGAGAAAGATGTAATGAATTGACTCCATTAAACACAAGCTCCACATGCTTTGAGGTAAGTGAACAAGCAAATACATCATCATATAGGAAGAAGGCATAAAATCTTCCAAATTCTGAACATCTATCACATGTGAAGGACGTTATTCTCGATTACATTGAAAGATGGTACAAACATATAATCCGAATTCATTGATGGCAAATCCGAATAGATTGCCATATGGTACTGCGTTTAACTTACTTTGTGGGAATTTTTGGATGTGTTTGGAAAACATTTGCCTACATTTATTCGTAATCAAAATCAAAATGTATTGTTTGCCTTATCCTCTCACAATACTCAAAAAACATTTTTTAAGGATAAATCATGGGTAGAAACACAGTTTTATTAGCATTTCGATCGTGAGTTTTTAGGATAAATTTATGAGAGAAACAGAATTTTATGTGTGAGCTAAATGGATGATTTTAGGAGTAAATTGATGGGGAGAACACAATTTTATGAAAAATTTAATTATTCAGACCAGAGAAAAATTCAAGCTAACCAACATTCATTGACAAAATCGACGTCAGGGTTTTCCTGATGATTATTCGTTATTCTGACAATAGTTCTTGAACTTTGGCAATGCCTTAATAACAGAGCGTTTGACGCCTAACGAGTTTTGGTTGTGTCCATAGAAATGGTGGTTGTGTCCTGAGTGGTTAAATAGAAATGATGAATTTTTTAATTAAAAATTCTCACAGACAAAGCAATAACTGAAGATGCAGAGGTCCTATAAGGATCTTATAGTAATTAAGTAGTTATGATTTTGATCTGTATTATAACTTCTTCTGAGTCTTAGAGAGAAAACGTTTCTGGTACTCGCAAGGTGCTGTTAGAATTGCGCCAGCTCTATCTAAAAGTGATTATTACGGATTTTTGCATTCTCTCACTAGCCGGTGTCTTTAATTTACGCACCGGTAAAATTAATTGAGCTAGCTTATAGCTTATTAAAAGTGTAGCCTAAGACTATTTTATAAATTTTATTTGACCTTTAAATTATTCGACTTCTTGATTATATCAGATTTATTTAACTTTCATCTTAATTTACATCGCTACGAGAGGTGGTTAGTCTGTAGCATAAGACGCGCCATTTATATTAAAAGTTCAGATTAAAAAAAAATAAAGCTTATTTAAACCTTCTCAGAACTTTGTCTATTTCAGACGCAGTGATAACTCGCTAACTTGTTTTGTAAGGTCTGCAGGACCTCAGCTTCTAGATCAATAGCAACCTTACAGTTCAATGAAAATCGCATCTGGTACGTGATAGCATTTTAGATGAAACAGTTCGGAAATATTTCTTTCGTTGATACATTGCGCCCAGTCACAAAGGAAGCAAACAAAGCCCAGCTTAGCCAAACCTCGCTAAACAGAACTGGTGGAGAAAGTAGCATTGAATCAGTTAGTTGGAAGTCAGTCATCTTCCGCAATTCTTTTTGTATTATAGATAAATATCAGTTCTCTTTGTTGTTATAGATAAATATTAGTTTAAATGAAAATAAGAAGCTTGAAAAAGGGAGATTTATTTATGCAAAATGTTTTCACAAATAATATTATCTACAATGATGCAAACAAAATAAGCTGTTCAATTTTTTTTTTTTTTTTTTTTTTTTTGTAATGAAGATGAGCTGTCTTTACAGCCTGTCTGGGAAAAAGAAAGTATGAATCGAAATGGCTCGTTTAGTTCAGATAAATGGGTTTTATTATAATTAAAAAGGATTGAAATTTCAGATCTGCCAGCCCGCAATTTATACAATTTACCTCTAAATACATTTTATTATTTTTATTTGCGGCTTGCCAGATAGAGTTGATATTTTCAAAACAACGTGCTTTTATGAAACAGCAAAAGAATGAATATAGCACACCTGATAGATGCTGCTCCTGTCCCACGGAATTCATCAGTTTAAAACTGAACTAGCTTATGGTAGAAACTACACCACTGAGTTTCAGATGAGTTTAATTTTACGGCAACGTTTGCGATCTTTATGTAACATTCATTGATTTTATGTAAAAGGTCAGGACAAAAAGTGCATAATGATACAAAATAAACGAATAAAGTGAATATCTTACGGATGAACTGCAAAATCCTGAATGCAAGCAACGTTTAATTTTTAAGAATTTGAAATAATGATTGGCCCACTATTTAAAAAAAGTTCTGGTCAGAGCAGAAATATTGGGGGTGTGCGCGAAAAAAACCTTGTTTCTTTATTTACTTAGCTGTTCCTAGACTGCCATGATAACGTAATTCTGGTCCTGTTTGCTTTCTTCAGGAATACGAACCTCGATTTTGGGGAAAAGCTGGAAATTATATGGCGGCACATCAGGAGACAAGGAGACAAGGGTAAAGCGCCCTCCAATGCACAAACCATTACAATCGACAGTATTATGAATAAAGGATCTATGCCCCCCAAAAGTGCGTTGACACAGGCGGGGACAATTACGTTGGGAAATTTTAGCAACTAAGCTTCCAAATCATTACCTATATTATTTACATAAATCAAACAGGTTTTACGTACTTCTCAAGTACGAGTATACATAGATGCACATATACATGCAGTATCTCAAATGCAACGAAATTTTTACTGTTTTAAAGCTGAGATAAAGTAATATGAAAAACTTACTCCGTTTCCAGTTTCTTTTTCAGAGTTCTTCGCAGAATGGTGGTTATCGCTTGCTTTCATGCTTTCAGTAGGCGAGGGATAACTTTCAAGCAACTGACTATCTTTTGTCACTGCAGGCCTTTCTTTGGCTTCTGTAAAATTATGACCACCTTTCATAGCAATATATTCTGTAGCTTTTTTCCTCCCGTTTTTTAATATCTTTGTGGTGTTTGTTGGAAGATCAGAAAGCTTTGCTGTTACCGTCTCACTGTCGTTAGAAGCTGTCAGAAAGGGTGGTAAGTTAACAATCAGAGGTTCACAAGTTGGAGATGGATGACTCCACTGACCGTTAAACAAACACTCAGCATGAAGTTCACCAACAAGTACAAAGCCTTGCTTGCATCTATACGCAACCGTGGATCCTAAAGCAGTACTGTAAGCTATAACCTCCCCGTTTTCAGGTGCATTTGGCTTTGCACACGAACTCGAGACGACAGAATACTCCAGATAAAATCCAGTTTCCAGCTTTTTCTTTGGATCATCGTTAACCAAAAATTCAACGGTGAGCTTTGATGTCAAGGAAGTGAAATTCAACGGCCCATTTGTCATTGATTCAGTCAAATTAACAATATAATTACTAGAGTCACCATCTACGAGAGATAACCTAGAAGCATTTTCGGAGAAAGAATTTTCTGTACGTTTCGGCAGTTTAAGGTATTTGATACTCACTTTGATTTGTTGGTTAGGTTGAGCAATAATTTCCCATAAACAGGGTGCCATAAATTGATAAATATAAGACGGATAACCAGGGCTAGCAATAGCTCCAGAACTACCTTGTTTAATTACAGGCTCTCCTGTACAATCTGGGAGGATGCATTTAGGAGCTTTGTTGCTCCACTCTGGTACTGGCGTTTCCGGAGTTACGATGCATTTGAGTTCCGAATCACCTATCAAATCATATGGCGGATTACAGTGGTAAAAAATATTTTGTCCTATTTTTCTACCTTTGCTTATTACAGAACCATTTTCAATTTGCTCTGGTTTACCACAGCGATAGGGATCAAAAGCTTTATAACGAACTTGAAAGGAGCCTATACCTTCTGAGCTGGTAGAAGTTTCATTCGAGTCTATCGCATAAGTTTCGGCAAAAGGAACGATGTATGATGTAAAGATGACATTCAAAACTTCCCCTCCTATCATTTCTCTGAGGCACTTCACACAGTTCCGAGGTATATCGTAAAATGTGTCATCGACATATAATTGAAACTGGGATGTACGATACTCCAGAGGAGGCAGGTGCACACTATCTACCTTGACAAGTAATTTTCGACCCGCTGGAGCGGTGTAAGTCCAAGAACAATTCAAGTCGCGAATGCTCTCACCTGAAAAGTCGGGGAGTCTGATCATACCATTCTCTACATTATGTTGCACATCTCCACAGTCTTCGGATGCAAACTCCGCATGAATGCCACTGCTGGCTAATGCAAAAGCCAACAGCATACATGTCTTGACAACAGAAATCATTCCGTTCAGAAAAGAAATGCATTCAGGTTAACTTCTTCAGGATGACCATTTCAGATATCTGACCCATCACTGCTACGAAGTGCAGCTGTCATCTAAAAGTAAGAAAAAGAAAACAAAATTACAATCAAAGTAATAAAAATTCCGTCGAAGTACTAGAATTTTTCTTTCCGAGAAAAATGTTAAAAAAGAAATTGCTCCCAAATTTAAATATTTAATTCCAAATAGGAAATATAATTTTGGTAGGATGTATTTGAGAGTTTTCTGGACATCAGAAGCATTAAAGCATATTTCTGAACTAGTTTCGTTTCCTTGAATGAAAACTTATTAGTGCTTTCACATGTTGCTAATTCTCCAGCTTGCTATTTCTTACAAAAGAATTCCAAGAAAATTCTTGTTGTATTACACTGAAACGTAGGCAAGCTGCTAGATCAAGTAGATGGTATTAATGCAGGAAATTTTATAAAAGGGATGCTAATGCTGAAGGAAATACTACAATAATATTAAGGAGCTAGATCAAGGATTTGTAAAAAGAACATTTTGAAAATGCTTCATTTAATGATAGATATTAAAATATTCGTAATGTTTAAATAAGTAGATTTTTCTCGGTATTTTTTAAATCATGCGACTACATGATACTTACACCATCAATGACTAAGATAACTGCTGCCACTATAATAAAAATAACGACTTCCAGGAACACCGCTAATTCTCTCGCTGATTAAAGGAAAACGTGTGATTGATTTCTGTGGTTTCAGAATTTAATTGAGGTAGGTCATTTTCCTACGAAATGTAAGTCTCGTATTATTAATTAAGCGATTTTTATTACAAAAGAGAAAAGAAGCTACAAAACGTTACTCCAAAGCTCGCAACAAGCTGCGCCTTCACTGTGGCGAAATGAAAATAGAATTCCGATTTAAGTGATGAGGTTATTTCGAAATTTTTCTTCAACAGTGATATGACTTTCGAAAGTTCATGCGTCTAAGCTTCAAATAGTAGATGCATAATCATAAAATCAGTAATTTGCGATGACTGTAACATACAACAAAAGGTAATCTAAAACTTAAATCGGCAAAAAAGGATCTAAAACGCATGCATGTGAAACATGTGACATTAATCTTCTGATAACACACACAACAAAAGAGGTCTAAATTGGTAAAACTAAGTAAATAAGTTTTCTTAGAATGCAAATATTAATGGATAAATGATTAAATTATCCCAACGCGTTTTTTTTAACGTTGCGAGTATAAGAATTATTTTCCACACAGCATTTTAAGTAGAAAGCAAATTGTTTTACACATTAAAGCCAATATAGCACTTTTCTTTCAAAGAAATCTTACAAAAAACAATTAAAGTGATTTCTTGACGAAAGGTGCAAGGTATTTTTTTTATATATACCATGTCCGCAAAAGTTCTCACCCGGTCTTTATTTTCCCAACAGTTCGTCGTAGACACATATTTTCAGCTTCAAAAATGTTTTCACTACAATGAGTTCTAATTAATTATAATAATTTTACAATAATAAATAATTATATTATAATACTAATGAATAATTATTATATAGATTTTTATCTTTGAACTAAAAACAAAATAATATATATAACACTGCGAAAAAATAAAAAGTTACAGTTCTGTATCCTCCCGTCTACTGGGCCGACTGACGAAATTCAAATTGCGTTTATTATATCTCGAGCACGATTTAGGATATATTAAAATACATAGCATTTTCTAATATAGTCTTCTGACCACAAAATAGGCTTCTGAAATAACCATGCCAGTTTTTTCCTAGTCGATTTTACGACTCAATTATGCCTAAATATTAAATTGTGTAAACTTTGGTGCGAAATTTATGGAGAAATTCAAATATTTTTCTTGACGCATTTTTTTTCCCAGTTGGCGTCAAGAATAACTTACTTGGCGAACTTCTCAATTTATGGCACCCTATTTTCCTCCCCCCCCTTTTTTTCATTTTTACACGAGCGGAAAAAAAGGTCATCGTTCATTACTGCAAATAATTTTAACAAAATGCGTAAACTATATTTGCCGTTATTATTGCTTTTAACAAATATGCCAAATTTCAAAACGCGCCAATATGTAAATTCACGTATACTTGGAACTTTTGAAAAAAACTTATTTTTTGAGGTATGCTTAGAATACATCTACTTACGATGATGTTACATGTTTATAGGTTATTCAAAATCTTTTTGGAAAAATTATAAAAATTATGTGCAAATACGATTTGAAAAAAGCATAAAAATTGGGCGAATTATTTGAATGAACTAAATTTCGAAATGTGAAAGGAAAAATCAAATAAGTTTAATAAAGAACAATATATTAATAAATATCGCTATATATAACTATATAGAAATTCAAATTCAATTAACGTATAGAAGCTAAAACTTTTAGAGCATTTTTAAAAAAACACTCGTGGCGATTTTTTACAAAACTGGCATTTGGCATAATTTGAGTCGTAAATCGAAATATAAAAACTATTTCATGTCATTCCCAAAAAGTCCGATTTGTGTCAAATACATATATCGAACAATGCTATATATAAATCTAATACAGATTTTAAGTCGCGCTTTCGAACATGAAATGCAGTTGAATTTCTCAATCGGCCTAGTAGAACGAGAGATATACACCTGTCCCATTTTTTTTCGCAGTTACATTAATACACCTGAAAAAAATCGAAATTTCTTAATAACTAGTTACAACAGCTATACGATAACAAATAATCATTATAATTATTTAATTAATTAAAATAATCATATTGTAATAAATAATTATTATATTTAAGATTTTTTGGGTTAAAATTTATATGCATTATTATATACAGTTGAAGTTTGGATAGCAAACCAGAAAAAACAAATCGAAAATAAGTCTTGCATAGAAGATCAAAATATTGGTAAAAGTCATGTTAAATCAACTACGATCAAGGAACAGAACGCTTAAATGGGGTAGATAACTGTTGCCTATTTTTTTAATTACTACAGAAAGAATATTTCTGCTAAAAAATATAGTTCCATTATATTTAGGGATCTTATTTTCAAAAGTAAGCATTGAAATATGCACTGTTCACGTAAATTTCAGTAAATTTCATACGTTATGGGGGAGAGAAAATCAATATTTTTGGTTTCTAGCATCGCATATCAATGCAAATCTTCGTTTATATCTGCGAATATGAAATAAAGGCGCGAAAGACAACTGACGACATAATTACCCGATGACACCGGGACTTCCTTTCCTTCGATAGTAAATTCCCTTTTTCTGTGACCTCTTCACCTTGTGGCACGTAATTAACCATGGAGGCAGGATTCCTATTCTATTCTTACTTTCATGTAATTAACACCCCTTCTGAACAATCCTAAGTGGTTTGGCAGACTGCCAGCCAAGGTGGAGTTTAACGCGGTAGAAGTATATTTTTAAAATCCGTACACTTGCGCTAAAAAGACGTGCCACGCACGACGAGACGCTTTTGTCTTAAACCGCGAGCGACGTGAACACCACGTCGATAGGCATTTATCGCAAAAATGAAAATAACGTGGTGCATACGTCGCCTAACAACGAGATTGTTTATGTTTAGGAAGGTGCACGTACTCAGTTAATACACAATCATTTAATAATGTAGATTTTTTGTGGCAACAGGTATGTTTTTTATATATTGCTTTGAGCTTGATAACTCACGGAATGTTATTCTTTTTGTAATGTTTAGAATGCTAAATAAATAAGTTCGTTGTTAATTAAAAAGGTTTTCTCTGCGAAATATATTATCATTCGTCCGAAGTTATTAAATAAGAAATGATTAATTTCAAACAGTTTACTTCTCGAGTTACAGCTCTGGATTGCACTCGCAGATGCGGAGCGGCGTATATGAGACACTTTACCGCTTGTTACATTGAAGCGCACGGCACCGCAACCGTGAAGTTTAATCGTAGCGCAAGTGGTTAACATTTCTTTCTTCCACCATGGCCAGCTGTAAAATTAAGAAGTTTGCAAAATCCAACTGCATGCTTCCGGGGCATGTGGTTTGAGTTCAGTTAATAATCCTTTCAATTTGATAAAGGAGTAGTTTGTAATAATAAACGTAATTTCTAATTAATTATGTACATACGATCGGTTTTAATGCCAACAAGTAGATGTTTTAATTTGCAATTATTTTAAGCTTGTATAATGGAGATGATATTAATTACCAATAAATGCTTCAGTTACAGTTTATTTATCTGAGAGATTATTTAGAAAAAATTTAGTTAAATTCCGTGTTGTATTAATTACCAATAAATGCTTCAGTTACAGTTTATTTATCTGAGAGATTATTTAGAAAAAATTTAGTTAAATTCCGCGTTGTCAAAAATAAGTCTGAAATAGCGGAAGACTAACCAAAACTAGAGTAACAGAACCTGCAGTATAGGTTACCTTATTTACAGTGACAGTGCTTAGGAAGATTACATGAAAACACGGAGAGAAAAATTAATTTAATTGATTAGATTTTTAATTTCAAATAAAGAATAAGGAAAAGGCAGTGACTGCCGTCCATAAATTTATTCAAAATAACTATCAGAAAATATTTTCTTGTTCCTTTTCTGTAAATTTTCTACCTATTTGAAATGTCAATTAAGACAATTATCATATCCAATTTAAAACATTAAAATTTAAAATTCTTAAATGAATGTACGATTTAAAAAACGACACTTTTAAATCACATCTAGGAAACACACACACACACACAAGCAAACAGCAAACAAACAAACAAACAAACAAACCCCCCCCCAAAAAAAATAGAATAGACAAAACGCCAGTGTTAAATGGCTTGAGTAAAGGCCAAGATTTAAAAAGCTACAAACAAACCATTTTCAATCTACTCAAAAACGGGCGTGTCCCATTCTGTGGTTGAGTACGTTATAATAAATCTTATTCACATCTTCTAGTTCTCGTTCGATTTTCTACTAGAAGATAAAAATTCTGAAATTGTAACACACGATCATTCGCTATTCTTTGAAATATATTTTAAGTATTGTCCACTTTAAAGAACGATTCTTATCGAAACTTACTTTTATTATTACAGAAAACATTTTCAGGAGTTTATATATAATTATAT